CTTATATGGGATCCATCAATTGCACCAACAATGTTTGAGAAATCAGAAACATCTTGAAATGTCTCTATGCAATGCCGTGTTTCTGCCTTTATGATGGGAAACTTTATGTAATCATTCCTGAGGTTGAAAAGGGCTTCCACAACATCTCGTACTGCTTCTAGAACAGTCTACCTTTTAACGTTGAAAACCAGCCCAATACTTTAGTACGAGTTGCTGTGATTTAGACAGTACAAACCAAGTACGAGAACTTTTTCTGGAGCAATGCAGTCATGCAATCATTCCACAAGTTACAGCCAGCTGCAAGACATTCAACAAAATATCAAAGGTACATCGGTTCATTCATAGTTGCTTTCTGAAATAATCCCCAGGAATCCTTTGGTCATTGTAGTGAGTCTCAAACCAAGACTTTTTGGAAGTTTCCAAAAGTATGGGTTGTGTCAATGTGCCCAGCATCTCTGTCTTCGACAGTATTCAATCGTTAAGAGGGCCTCTTGATTTCGAAGATATTGATGCCTCAACAACAGGCACACCATAAGGAGTATTTCATCCGCCATCTGATCAATATTTACAAGACAGAGGAATGCAACAAGTAACAAAATTTGAATGTACTCCATTATCCTACCTGACAAAGTCTATGTTTTGGCGTGCAGCAGAATTGAATAAATTGTAATGAAATATAATATTGACAATGTTAGCACAATTTGAAGACTTTAACCTTGTTGATGTGGATGCAACAGACAAAAGAAAAATTGTCACCACAAAATTTGTCCTTGGATTTTGTCATGGACAATTGCAATTTTGTCTGTAAGTGGGGATTGGCCCTTTCTTTGTCTAGTGCTCCTTTTCGTTAACTAAATTCCCCCTGGGAGAGACTTCATGTGTCTGTATTAAATGCCAAGGTTAATGGTACCACTCAAGCACCAACCAAAGTACAGAACAGGGAACAATCAAACTTTCCAAAGACGGCTCACAAGAATTGAAAGAAAAAGATGCCCTTTTATACCATCTACATAACATAACATACTTTATTTGCATGTAGGTAATTAAAAATGGCAGCCAAAAAGCAGATGTGGACCTAAAAACTAATATCTGAAAAATTAAGTGAAAGATAATATTTACAAACTAAAGAAGCTAATTAAATTTAATTACAGTAAATAAAGTAAGGCAAAATCAGAAGTTTCAATAAATATAGTTTGCAGTGTCTTTCTTTGATCCCTGAATTCCATTGAAGGAGATATTATCTAAAATGTCACATTTTGCTTTGAGAGTTCATTTAAAGGATTCAATGTTAAGTGTGCTTTTTAAGAATGCAGGTAAGTTATTCCATAATTTACAAGCTTGATGAAAGAAGGAAGAGCACAGTAGGTCACATTTGGGGCGCTGCACGTAGAGTTTAAGGTTGTCTCTATGATATCTTGACAAGGAGTATTTCGTGAAGAGAGAAATAATACTAACTGAAGTGCTATTGTAGAAGGCTTGGTATCCTCAAGGAGCTGAAGTGACTTTGAGGATCTCCACAGAGCAACAGAATACGTAACACTTGGGACTACATGTGTAGAAAAGCAAATTTCTAATCTCAACTTGTCGTAAATATCAGCTTTACATAAAAGAAGTATTTAGTAACTAAGATATGTATTAGCTTAGATCTTATACTTCAAATTTGATCATGAAAAGTTTAAAGATTATGCATAGTGTTAAATTTTTAAAAAAATCGCTGTTAATTTCACACAATTCAGCTTATTAGCTGCAATGTAATATTGTGCACATATTGTGTGCTTAATAACTCCATTTTACCTATCAGATCTTTCTCCAGCTAAGAATTCTACCAAAGTTAAGGCAACATTATGTAAATCTGGTCTTTTTCCACTCAAAAACTCAAATCAAATGAGACACTTATACAAGACTCATGGGGAATTTAATGCAGCTTTTTTGTTGAATTCCTTAGCTTTTTGTTCTGCAAGTCATGGTGCAAATGGTCAAATTGAAGACTTACCAAAAGCCTATTTGTAATAGGATTGAAAATTTCTGTCGCAACTGAACAACGACATTTTGTTTAGCTTTAATATTTTTTGTCTTGTTTGTAGGCATTGTGTGCCATTGCTTGAGTGATATTCAAGTCATGTGATTTACACGCCTTTGAAGTTGAGAAATGTACAAAAATAAATGGTTGAGTTCTAGAAAACATCCTCATTCTTGTGGTTGAAGTGCTTTACACAACAACCTTGCTTACAGTTTCACAATTAAGAATTTGTGGGAGCTGGGATAGCTCTACTAGAAGAGAAAATATCAATTTTGAATTTTTTGGCAATTGGTCAGCAAAATACAATGAAAACCTGTTGATGCACCTGTCCACAACCCCTAAAAATGCATGGTACTCATCTCCTCAAATCCAGAATGAAATGATTGACCATATCAGTGATAGTATTCCCAGTGCTTTAATCTCCAAATTAAATAAATCAAAGTTTGTCAGTATCATAGCAGATAAGTCATCTGACGTATCGATGACAGAACAGATGGCAGTTTGCATACCATTTGTTAAAAAGGTCTGCAGCAAATGAAATTGCTGCACATGAATTGTCTCTTGATTTTGTGGATTTACCTGCCACTGCTTCAGCAACAATAACTGAATCACTTCTTGAGAACCTCAGCCAGTGGGGGATCCATCTTGATTGACTACTGGGAATGGGGTTTGATGGCGCTCCTAACATAGTGGGGCATGCACAGGTGTCCAAGCAAGGATAACAAGGCACTATCCTAATGCAAGATACTTGATCCAAGTCACTGCTTGAACCTTGTCATTGTTGCCATCTGCAATAAAGTACAAGAAATCAGGAACTTTGTGACAACATTTCAACAGCTGACCTTCTTTTCATGTTCTGCTAAGAGAAAGGGAATTGTAACTTCTTCGGTTACATTCATTAAATCTGCAAACCAGAGTAGCATCAAACTATGTTTCATAGGGAGATATTAGTCACTACTTCTGAAGTGGATGGCTTTTTGTCTGACTGCCCAAGAGAGGAGCATGAATAAAGCTTATTCACAACCAGCCTGCACAGTGAGACTCCACTAACTCGGAGTGATACCCAATGGCTTTCCAGGCCAGATTCTATTGGCATGCTGTTAGCAAACTACCTGAAGATCTATGACACAGTTGCTGAAGTGGACACAATCCACAGGCAGGTCTTCAAATGACACCTCTAGCTTTCTTCATGCCATGGAAAAGTTTAGCTTAGGTAATTATTTCAGCAGTCCTAACTCAGCACATATTGGGGTATACAAGACCTTTTTCTGTCCTCCTTCAGTCAACAACATAACATCTGATGAAAGCACACACAGAAGCCAAAAATGCATCAGGCTCATGCAAATACTCAATCAACTTCTGACTACTATGGGTATGTGTTTCCTGCCAAAAGAGAGCATGTATATTTCCATGTGTGTGTGTATGTGTGTTTTAATATATCCTTTTCTATGATTCACTAATTCTAAGTGGATGTGAAAAACATATTTTTTTTGTTTTTAAAGGTTGAATTATTACTGCCCCTTCCTGGATCAGGTAACCAAGCATACGAATGAATGATACACCCAGGGTCAGAAAGGTGCACTACAAGGTACACTGCTTGTTCCTGCAAATGTCAGGAAACTAACCCCTGAGGAAGATGATCTAAAGAAAGAGTTTGCTGTGGAGTTCCCCATGCCCCAGATGTTTGAGCAAGAGGTGAGCCTTTGGTGTTTGATAGGAGTCAGCGATGTGATCATTTTTTTCTGTAGCCAACCAAAATGCAGTTTGAAAATCTGCATGGTTATGAATCGCTATAGTGTGCCATGTTAGGTTATACATCAATTTTCTTTCTCACTGCAAGCATTACAAAGTGTTTTCTTTTTGTCTGTAGAATCATTTGGGTTCACGGGTTACCCATTGGAATGACGTCCCATGACATAACCATGGCAGAGGAACAACTCTCATAAAATCTGTGGCTTGCTGCGATGAACAGTTCTTTCCGAACATATCCACCATTCTCCATCTAATTCTTACATTGGGATGCTAAAGGCCACAGAAGAATCACCCTTACATTCAATTAGCTTGTATTTCCCTGATCCTTTGCCAACACTTAAGATAAGTTAGACTTGTACTTTCTACTGGACTGAGTGTTTCCATGTGACACCTTAGGTAAAATATGCAATCACACAAGGAGTATAAATAATGATCCTGAAAGTAATTGCTGCCTCCTTTACAATCCAATTAAAAAAAGGTAATTTACATGTCCAATATTTGATTGATAGTGTTGGCTATTGTCCGAACCCCAAATTCTATTGTAAAATTAAATCCTAGCACATCTTTTGAATAGTGCCTTGGTTGGAAAATTTTGGTGGTTACAGGCCTGACCGCTTGAGTTAAAACAGAAACCATATGGTCTTGTAACAAACAAGTTCATGATATGCATATTGTATCAACAAGCCATTAAGTGAAGTAAATACTTGTTGTACAAAAATTGCTATCCTCTTTCCTTGTCTCAGTAGACACCAATAAGAGTACTAACATACAGTCTTAATTATTTTATAAATTGTATCATAGCGATTTTTACATTTTATATTAACTGTTGTGATTTGTATGTACTATAAATTCCCTTGAGATTGGTAAGCAGTTCCTCATTGAAAGATAGTATTTTGGTTTGTATAGGTTCTCTCGATTTCTGAAAATTTGATGAAAAATTTGATCTTGCTGGTCATGTCTGGGGCATGGGGAGCTCCACAGCAAACTCTTTCTTTAGACCATCTTCTACCTTTAAAAGCAAAAAATGTTTCTCACATCCACTTAGATCATTATCATAAATGTTCCTTTTTGTGATACATCTGCTTCCCTTTTATGCCTGTTTCATGAGATCAAAAGTTTGTTTTTCAGCTTGAGGTGTTTATAATCTCAATTACAAACTTCACTTCTATGGATGCTGATTTCTTTATTACAACAGTCTTTTGAGTGCAGATTTATCTGAGAATAATACATTATAGAGAATATGTATACTCTTAACAACTAGGGAATTTATTTCTTCTAAGTCTAAGTTATAAAATACCTTGTAAGTAATAGTTTAAAGACGGAATTTATAAAAATAATGAAATGGCATCAACTTAACTGTAGTGAGAATATTTTCATCATTCGTGTCATTTGGTCGCTTATGTATTAACCTAGCACAGATGTATGTGTTATGTCAAGAATAGACCTTTTTACAGTTCCTGGCACCATATTGGATTAGTAACTGCGCATACACGATACACTAGGGTTGACCCGGCGGTTCTTTCATACAGCTGATCTGCTGACATTTCACAATCTAATGCACTTTTCACTGCAATTTCTCCCTTCAAAATAGTTCTTTAACCCAACAATATGGAAATTTCACCATTAGATGACATCCAGAAACTTGAAGCAAAAGATCCCAGGGAGATTCTAAAATCTAATTTAAAATCAACAGGCTGAATTAGAGCTTAGTGTTGAAAGTTTATGCTTTGCTGATGCAACACGTCCTTCCATCGAGTAGTGGAGAAAACCAAGAACTTCTTACAGATGTCCAGGACCTAGAACAAAACCAGAGCGACTTCAGATACGAAGTACCTATGGTAAGCATTTCAGCCTTTGGATGGGTGAGTAATCTCCATAATTTACCTGAGATGAATTTCAGTCAGCTTTACGATTACCACATTGTTTCACAAGAATATTGCCACATCATGTTGAGAGGAACGCATCACAGGAAGTACCACAGAAGCTGTTCAGGATGGCTTAGAAAGTGAGGCAACGACTGCAGCTCTTTAGGTAGAGGAGATTTGTTATTGATGCTGTTGTTGATGTGGTACTTGTTGTTGTACCATATTCTTCAGTTAAAGTTGTTCCCATTTTGTTCACCAAGATGTCTTTTAGTTTGCCATTTGTACATTTCATCTTACAGGAAACTATACAATAGAGCCTGTAGAACCATTTGATTATAACCCTTGTTTCTATCAACCCATGAGGAAAACTGAAACTAACAGATGTAATAATATTTTCATACCCATCTGGTTCAGGACAACTTATGCTCGTGATACATTGAAAACCATTTCAGTTCGTGACTCATGGTAATTTGTTAGGTGGCAAGACACCATTGAAAGAATTAGACCAAAATATTAGACAATTTAAAAACTCACAGAAGTGACTGATTCATGTAACTTCTCTAAACACTATCCAGCAAACAGATAACGTTAATACTGAAACTTATCAGGCAGAAGTTATCTTGATCTTACATCAAATTCTTATAACTTATTTACAAGTAAATGTGTAGCAACTAGAAGGGAGAATTGACAATCAAATCTTGGGTATTTAAGGGTTAAAGGAAGAGAACAGAAATGCTTCCTCTTAGCTACTGATCTCAACAATGCTAGTCCTTTACACACATTTAATTTTCCGTCGGTGATAAACATTCAGTGAATTGATATTCCCATTCTTAGCACTTAGAGGCCTTCTGACACAAAGGTTTGCTATACTAGTTCTTATTGCATTGTGTTAACCAATGTTATGATATAATTTTGAGATGTAAAGAAGATACTTAAAAGTTTGAGAAATATATCTGAATCAAGATATTTATTTTATCCCGTTATAGTTACCATAAGATTTGTTTGAAAGAGAATCTTTCAGACCATCGAAGTGTATGGGAAATTATTTTTTGTGAGACTTCTATCAAACTTTTTATTATGAGGACAATTTTGTGAATATTAAAATTCAGTGTCATAGTTCATCTATGTCAAGAACTCTTTTAGTTGGCAAAACTCACTTTTTCTTTTTTTCAATCTGACGCATCAAATTGATTGATACATAAAGCACAAAAAATATTTTTTGAGAGTTCCATGTGGCATCCATAGTGGATTACTATGCTATCATAAAAAACAAAAACAACAACTACTGAAAACTGCTTTTGTCACAATTGCTACCAAATTTGAGTCAGTTTTCTGGGTCTGCCATAATAAGTGAAAACTCTGAAGATAGAGTGTTGGTTATTTTATTAAAAGCAATTACTTTCCAAGAGTTTCTTGCTGGGAGTGTTTTAGGCAAGCCATGTAGTAAACAGGTGATTAGCAATGAACTTCTTGACTTGCTGCCGAAATAAAAAAAACTCTACTGAACTTAAAACAATTCAGGTACCTGCTAGAAAATTTGTACTAATTTTGCAACAATAGTTACCCTCATCCATAATTCACAGAGAACAAGAGAAGTATAGAACGATAAATACTTAGCAAAAATACATGCCTCCGTGCATAAACTTGAAGTGAAAGCTCGTAGGCAAACCATTGGGGCCATAAAATGTATTTGAATAACCAAAAGCGGCACACTGCTTTCCTTTCTTTGTGGGAGAAAAATTAGCTTTATCGAGATTTCGGATAGGACCATCCATTTTCCTTAAAAATCGAACAGTTTTACTGCCCACGTACGAAGCGCTCACAGAGATTTAACGCGAGTCAACCCCAGCCTCGTTATCGCGTGTGCGCGGTTACATTTCCAATATGGCGCTGGGAACTGTAAAAAGGTCTATCAGAATGTTTGTAGGAATAAAAATTTGGATAAATCAAATATAAGATGACTCACCACGTTTGGCTCACCAAGTGTTCGTATTTTCCACAAGCTTCGCCTTCGGCCACAAACACTGCAAACAGGAGGGAACCGAAGCATCCGATCTCACTCGATATGATTTTCGCTTCAAGATCTTCGTCCGCGTGAGGTCGTTCCTGCTTCATTACGACCCTTTTGTCACCAGCTAGAACCCTACCGGTATCAAATTTTTTAGTTAGATGTTTCCCAAGTTGACAATTAACCGAAGCACGAGACTAACAAGATCAGAGGTGTAAAAGCAGTGATTATGTTTAACATTCTATGTGAACAAGCCTCTAACAGTTTTGAAAGATGCTAACTTTTCCATCAAAAACAGCCCATCCTCCGAGTTAAGAACTTAAACTTTTATTTGGCAAAATCAGCCAGAAATTCATCGAAAGGATGTTACCTACATTGTGCCTACATTACTATTATTACTACACTAACCTCAAAACAACGCACGTCGCCTGCTGATCGTACCTTTATGAAAAATTAATTCCCAGACCCCTCGCATCGTTTGAAACCTGTCGGCAGCCCCACAAGGTGGAACCAAATAATTTCAAGGGTTATCGGGTTTGATTGGGACTCGAGAAGCTGAGCGTAAATCTGTTTCACTGGAAATTTATATGCCCCCACTTTTAACTCGCTAAAAGATATAGGTCCTTGTTTTAAACAATTACTCTAAAAGCTTTGGCGAGCCTTGTAAATTTTTACGGTCATTGTGAACTTCAGTTTATCACAATGCGAGGCTTTAGGTACATAGGCTTGGTAATCTTATCAATATATATATATATATATATAGGAAGTCTGCAAGTCGATTTTCGCGTGGAACAGTGCTCAATACGTTGAAGCAGAGCAGAATAAATATTATGAGAGGAAAAAAGGACGTAACTACATTTCCCGACAAGCCTGTTTCGTGAATCGCTTCACTCTTCAGGGGTTTTTTTTAATCTTTTTTAAAAAAGATTTAAAAAAAACCCCTGAAGAGTGAAGCGATTCACGAAACAGGCTTGTCGGGAAATGTAGTTACGTCCTTTTTTCCTCTCATAATATTTATATATATATATATATATATATTTGAGATTATGTACAATGTACGATTAGGTACAAATTTGAAACAAGATTGAAACAATGAAAAGTACAAAGTCGTTACATTTTTATAATAGGTTGTGTACAGTGATGGAACTTCGAGTTTGTTGTGCCCAACATAAGTTAGACTTCTCGTCCATCGCTTGTTGATCTCTGACATCGAACTAAATCGTAGCCCAAGAAGGGGGCTCGTTGTCTTTTACAGTCTCGTCGAGCTTACTAGTAGTTCTGCTCACTAATCGATGATATATCTATTTCACTTGGTGCCAGAAAAATTCTAAGCTCTTCTGTATGAGTAGTTAATTTATTAATAATCAAAAAGTCGAAAAGGCTAATTGAAAACCACGTTAAGATGGCAATAATGATGTAGGTTCTTTACCACTTTCATTTAGTACACGGGATTCAGCGTTGCTTGTAGTGCACTGAGTAGGCACGAAATTCGTGGAAAGTGTGCAATTTCGACGATTGGTTGTTTGAAAGTTATTAAAAATGTTCCAAATTACCTTTGAAATTAAGATACAGTCCTCCCTTGTTTAGACCATTCTCTGTGTTTTTTTTGGCGCTGGATACGTTTCCACCTATTCTGACGGCAGTAGCTCTTTAGATGTTTATTCGCTTTTTTCTAGCTCTGCTCCATTAAATTCATCACTTCTACAAGTAAGCTCAGATATAGCGAAGGTGGCATCGGACGAGTTTTCGATTTGTCTACGAACGATTTGGCATCTTGCAAAGGTTTTTATGTTTAAGGCCATTGGTGCCGTCATGGAGAACAACTCGGTGCGGTGAATGTTCCAGGTAAGCTCTGAGGTAGTCCTTCATAATTTTATAATGGCCTTAGAGAATAGTTTGACCCCTATGCGATAGCCTATGCCTTTTTCTAGCTTTGTACAATGGATAGTTCGTTATTATGGAGACTCCAATTAACAGGGTTGTACTTGTGATAGCCAAAAATATCGTTACGTGTCCAACTTCACTTCCAAAATGGCCAAACGAAACGAAGTGAAGTCATTCAAATGGAAGCAGTCGCTATAAAAAAATTACAAGTCATAAGTTATCACGATTATGGTTAAAGAAATTGACAAATGAGGAAAAAAAAATGAAGGACGGCAAAAGATACTTACAAACGTCGTACAAGATCCGGGTCCACTAGAAAATTAAAGACGATTTAAAGCGACGTAAAGCGAAAGACGGTTTAAACAGTTAGGCGGTTTAAACAGTTAAACGGTAGATCTTAATGAACTAATACAAGCGACATAAACAAAAGGAAATTATTCAGGAAAAAGTATCGGAACATTGATGAAAGTTATGCGCGTAGAACAAAAGGTCTGGATAAAATGTGACAAAAGAAGAGTTCGAATTTGTAAAGATACGCCAATCGAATTTTTGGCGGCAACAATAATGGAATTATCAGAGATCTTGGCATTGGACTGAGTCCCATTTTCATTGTTCCTTTGTTTTCGTGTTTTATTATTTTCCTTTTTCTTGCCAAGAACTTTTTAGTCGTTGCGCATTTGTATTGTCTGAGGATATTTCTGACTCCTCGTCATTCATTGGATCTGTCCTGCCACTATTAGATCTTTTTGACCTGTTAGATCAACTGGCACCTACCATTTGGTTGACTGCTTCTCTCGAAACAATTACAAGGCAAATGACCTTTCTTTAACTTATGGCTATTTTGACTCTCTCAAAGATGAAATTAAAGCGCGTAGCCCGTTATTCTCGATTTGTTATTCCTTCAATTCACCAGAGGACTGCTTGGAGACTTTATAATTTTTTTGTGGAAACAACAAAGAAGCAGAAGCTGATTGGGAAACCCCAGTTTTGAAAAGATACATGCAGAGAGGTATCTATATGACGTGCCCAGCTTTTCATCAACACGAAGAAGCCAGTATAACTATTCCGCGGAAATTTTGGAGACACATTCCAATAGTACCCTTTACAAAAGATGACGATCATACTTCGAGCCTTAAAAAGTACAACTGTCCTTGTTCAATGTTTTTTTGTGGAACTGGCCACGGTTAACAGCTTGAAAAACTTTGAATATCTATGGTTAATGTCTGCATTTATGAAAGTCGTTCAGACAAAATCTCTCATACACAAGAAGAATTCTTGGAATCCAGTATTCAAGACAGAGACAGTTTAAACAGTCAGGCGGTTTAAACAGTTAAACGGTAGATCCAAATGAACTAATACAAGCGACATAAACATTACGAATATGCTAGCAAGCGATTCATAGAAGCGACTGTATGTATTGTCCAGATACCTACAACGTGTTATTGACATATATAAGTTAAGTCTCCTCATGAGCTTACTAAACTGCCGTTTTTTAGATGTTGCCAACTTTAAAGGTAAAATGAATATCTCCTACCATTTCTCGTTAATGCCTCTAAACATAAACAAAAATAGGCGACAGTGCAGAGGATGATTATTTTAGAGAGTTAAAAATAATGGTTTTATCTGCGGTTTTATCTTGATACATAGATTTAGCCAAGCCTAACAACGTGAGTTGCTCTTTGACTGCAACCGTTCCTCAATGAAAAGAAAATCGTTATTAACGAATATGTATTTTACTTCTCTAGGCCTCAGTCCTACAATAAAAAAAAAACACAACAGCAAAACTGTCGCCTCAAAGGTTTAAAAATGAAAGAGTTTCTATGCCCGACCTGCTCCCTGAAAAATAAACCCTATCCTTCTACTGTCAAGGTCCCTAAAACTTATTTCAAAATAACTTGAACTCTTAACAGAGTAGGCTCATTTTGTCTTCTTTTGCCTCCGTGTTTTGGTATCCAGTATCAATAACATCATTGTCTAAAATGAAACAAGTGCATGTTCAAGAGGCAGGGAAAAGGTTATCAACTGACGGTAACATGTTCAGAAAACTAAGACAAGATTTGAATCCAGGGAGGATGCACGTAATATTAACGGGAAAGTATCTAGCATTTAAGAATAGCATATGACCACTTAATGGACAAAATTAAGCGAAAGTGAAGTAATTTTCTATTTTATATGACATTCTGTTTATATGACAAGAAAAGCGCATAAAGAAATCATCTTTAAAAGTGATTCACTGCAAGCACCTTTGGGAATATGTGATGAACGAAGCAAGAATCATCGTTTGGCCATTACCTGAACTTATCCTCTACGTATTCTGCGACGCAAACCTTCTTTTCTGGAAAGAACGGAGTAATTTATTCAGTGGTCATCATGTCTACGTGTTCTGATTGTTATGAAAATGAATAAATTAGCACTGGATGTTGTTTTGTTTTATTCTTACTATACTGAGTCATTTTTCAAAAATGCTGGTTGTCCGTTTCTGATTTAAGTGACGGTCCTTCTTTATAACAGTGCGTTGGAAAACTATTTCATGTTGAAAAGGCCAGCCAATTGTTTCAACTTAGAGCGAAATAAATTCAAATTTTAATAAATAATGTTAGCAAATATCACTTTCCATGAAAACTTTTTTTTGTTTTTTTCATATAGGGGAATACACTATGTCAACATTTAGTAGTAGAGACTCTGTTGTCACGTTAATAAGAACAAACGATCATCCGGTATAAACAGCTGATCAGTCTGACGAATATTTGTAACGGAGCTTATTAATTAATGTTATCCGGTTAATTTTTAATGTCTGTATGGTCAAATACAATGTAAATCTCTAACTTTTTCCTAGAGTGATAATGTAGAACATTCAAAAGCTCAAGAACAACATAAGTAAAACAGTAGCTGAAGAAAGTTTGGGTGAAACATAGAGAAATAAATCATAGTCTTTGATCAATGATAGAAATATCTGTAATATTCAAAATGATCGATATCGGTAAATGGTTTGAACCCGGGGGTAACCTGTAATAGTGTAGTTTGATCGTGCGGGCATACTGACTAACATCAAAGACAGAGACGAACCGAGGAACAGACAAGGAGCAGTATATAAGATCAGTTGCTCCGACTACCACGCCTTCTACATCGGTGAGACCGGCAGAAACCTCGCAACTAGACTGACTGAACACAAACGAGCGACGAGGAAAGGC